TTTGCGTATTTCAAATAAAGTCTGACAAAATTAAGTCTGAAAAAAGGAAATAGATAAAAAAAAAATATTTGAAATAATCTGAATAAAAGTAAAAAAAAACTAAAAACATTTTAAAGAATAAAATTTACAAAAATAAACTAAAAAAAATTGGTTGAAATGTTGTTTGAGTTTTTTTTTAGATTAATTTATGATGTGTATGCACTAATTCAGCCAATATTGTTACAGTTTGCACTTTTTCAGATTTTATTTCCAAATGTTATATTTTCAGTATTTTTATATTTCTAATTTTATTTCAGAAACAGATTTTAAAAGAATCCAATTAGTAAAACTTGCGTATTTCAAATAAAGTCTGACAAAATTAAGTCTGAAAAAAGGAAATAGATAAACAAAATCTGAAATAATCTGAAAAAAAGTTAAAAAAATATATTTGAAAGAATAAAATTTACAAAACAGCAAACAAAAAAAAATTGTTGAAATGTTTAAATATGTTACTATCAAAAAATTATTTTTTTATTGAGAAGGTTTTTAAATTTACAATTTTAAAAAGCATTTTCTTTAACTCTCTTTTTGTATCCTGAAACATTTTTCTCTCCATACTTTAGCTCCCGTTCAGTGAACACCAATGTTAGCGATGCTGACATGTTTACTGATTTCATGCATTGCAGCTCAGGCTGTTATTCTATGGTAAACATACACCATGTGTTTAATTTCACCAATGAACGGAGCAAAGAAAGTCAAACAGAGAAATTAAATTAATTAGCCATGATTCAAAGAGAAAGCCAGCAGAATGAAGTACTGGGTAGAAACTGGTATTCCAAGTTAATGACCTTCTGCTGCGGAGGGACTCCACCAGTAACCAGTAAATCGGTCAAACTCCTCCTGGATGACGAATGTTGCTACACCTGCAGACTTTGGGTCCTCCTTCACATTGTCTAAACCTGGAAACAAGAGACAACAAACAGATGCACACTCCGGTAAAACCAGTGCTCATTACAGCTCACAACAGCTGGGTTGAAAAATAATATCTGATGCATTTAAAAAACACAAACTGCAAAACCAAACCTCTATTTTATTAGGGATAATAATAGGGATATTGATCAGGTGCATACGGTGTCTTATCTATTCCAAAAAACAAGATTAAAATGAACAATACCTCTGCAGCCATAGATTATTCAAGTAATTAAAGCTGAGACAATTATTATGATTAATCGATTATTGAAATAATCGATTATTTTAGTAATCGATTAATCGTTAACTGGGATACAGAGACTGTAGAACATGTCTTTGGCTGACAGAGCGACCCACTTAGAGCAGCAACTATACAAAGATTGTAAAACGTTTTGCATTTGAAAAAAACGTTTTCGTGGAAAAGGTTTGTTTCACCTGTTTAATTTCGTAAAAAATTTTCTTTAATAAATCTTTGCCTTTCTGATTAAAAACAATCGACCGATCATCAATTTGCAAAATAATCATTAGTTGCAGCCCTACTAGTACTCCATTTATCTTTTTTTTAATAATATTTCCAACACTTGATAAATCTCAAAACTATTTTTTTTTTTTGCTGCTCAGTGTAGCTCTGCTACCTTGCAGTAAGAAGGTTCTGGGTTCAATTCCTATCCCAAGGTCCTTCTGCATAAAGTTTACATGTTCTCTCTGTGCATGCGTGGGTTCTCTCCAGTAGGGGTGTAAATAATAATAGTTTTGTATCGATGCATCGATCCAACAGCCGACGATCCGATGCATTGATTCATGTTTTTTTTTTCTCCGGTCTATTTTTATCCATTTGCTCCTGGGCGTAATTCTCCCTCCCGTGCTGCGGTGGCGCTAAACCTATTTTGCCCTCCTACCTCGCTTCCTGGTTATCCTCCTGCAGCAGTGTTTCGCAGTGTTTTTTATTTATGCTCAATATTGAAGCGTGGTCTGTGCAACACACTGTGGGTCTAGATACGGCCGAGGCGGCG